CGCCGCAGCCCCTGGCTGGGCACTGATCCCGGAGAAGCGCAGCCAGTGCTGAGCGCAGCACAGGGCACCGGAGCAGCGCGGTCCAGGGCCGTGCCAGGCTGCTCCTGTCCCAAGGCGCCGCAGAGTTGAACGGCACGGCCCCGGTGCGGAGGGATGCTCAGAGCTGGTACCCAGGGATGCCTCCTTGGCAACAACCAGACAGAACCCCGGTACCCATGGCAACCACAGCGTGTCCCCACGGCACCAGCAGCCCCCTCCATCCCCAGCCTCCTGGCTCTCACCTTGCTGCTGTGCATGACCTGCAGCTCCGTGGCCTGACGCCACTGTGGGGGCCGGGGGGGCTCGGGGGGGGCGGTGGGTGCCTGGCTGCCGATCCGGGGCTCCAGCTGCGAGATCCTGCAGGGGAGAGGCAGGATCAGGCCCTGCTCGCTTCGGGTGCTCAGGGGGAGCCCGCACGGTGACAAAGCGACACCGACACCAGCAGAAGCCCAAGAGAAACGAACCCCTCGGCACCGGAAGATGCGACACCCTGCACCCCGGGGCTGCCCCACACCCCAACGGGCACTGCCAGGGGAAGATCGCAGCACCGGAGGCCTTGCGAAGCAGGACGGCTCAGGGACAGCCCCACGCCCAGGCTCCGGCAGCGACGTTACCCGCTCCAGCCGTCTGGGGCTTCTGGACCCAGGAATCGGACCCGGGTCTCAGCGCTGTGGGGAGAAGAGTGGGGGGCTCAGCCCAGGCCTGGGGGGGGAGCAGCAGGAGGGGGAGGAACCGCGGTGACATGGGGCGACGATGCATGACAGGGTCTGCTACCTGCGCCGGGGGGATGCACACAGGCACACGCACACAGACTGTCACCTGCTCGGGGACACACGCATGCACACCGCTCCGTCAGCTGCCATGGGATGCACGCGCGTGTGCAAACATACATGCACGTGCCCGCTTACCCACCACACACATGTGCGTGCCCACATGCAGGCAGGCAGCCCCAGTACCTGCCACGGCACACACAGAGGCGTGCATGCCACCCGCCCCCGCCGGCTCGGTTACCTGTACTGGCAGGAGGTCCCCTTGCCGAGCTGGCAGAGGTGCTTGTGCAGTCCGGTGCGACGGGCGCAGCAGAGCCCCAGCACCAGGGCCAGCCCGAGCAGCGCGCTCAGCAGCAGGGCGGTGGGCAGGGCGCTCCCCCCTGCGGAAAGCGGCCCGCCCGCCCGCCGGCACAGGGCTGCCCTTCCTGCAGGAAGGCATCGGGCGGGCAGTGTGGTGAGACCCCGTCACAGAACTCGGGCAGGTCGCACTCGCCCAGGGGCTCCCGGCATGGGTGTCCGGCACGGTGCAGCTGTGGGGGGGTACAGTCAGATGAGCGGGGACCCCCAGGAAACCCCCCCCAGGAA